AATTGCTCAGAAATTATGTAAAACATTGCTTGCAACTTGTGGAAATCCCTAGGGAGAAGGAAGGGGGGGTGGGGAGGGAGGCTACTCAATAAAGCTTTGTTCGGAGAGGCTTTGCCCCGAGGTCCAGTCCCTTACCCTTAAATATACTATTTTTGACAAAAGGTACCCCTTTCGTGTATCTTCCATTAAAAAGTTGTACCCTTTTCATATATCTGCTTCGTGAGAATAAATCGGTAAGAAAGGAGGTTTTCCGGTCGTTTTCGAGTAACCTTTAACTGAATTAACATGTAAATGATATTGCCATAAGGCGTGTTTCTTCGAAGCATTTTAATAAAAGGCCCTTTACAATACTTAATGAAAGATTTTCCTTTTCCTTCACATACTTCAACTTGTGATTTTCTTACCCTTTGTTACACCTGATGCTTGAAACTAGGTACCCTTCGGGCGAAGCCTTCCAGATTATGAAAGTGCATCATGAAATCATGAACAGGAGATGAGTGGACCTTAGGACATGGACGGTGACTGAAGACTGTCGCAAAAATAGATGATACAATAAAGAGTCCAAAGAAACGCAAAAATAACTCAAAATGAAGTGAATGAAGAGCAAATGAAGACTGAATAAAGTAATGCCAATTGGTCACCTGTTCACCGCACCCCATCACTCCGCCCCCTATCCCCCCCCCAAAAAAAAAACGACAACGCAAAACAAGCTAAATTTAACTAAAAGTAGTAATTGAAGAAGAAATAGGACGTTAATAGATCGCTGATAAACCGGTTTGTTTGTTTTTGTTTTTTATCTCTTTGGTAATTCATCACTTAAGGACAATTGAGGCAGCTACTAGTGCCAGTCCCTCCCGAGTGCTGAATTTTCAAGATGGCGTCGCTTTGTTATTTTCTACTGTAGTTTCATCATATCGTTCAGCACTTTTTGCCCTTTCAAAATGTAACCTAGGCAGTATTTCGGGCTTTTTGATATGTTCTCCAGCTGCTGAACATACTTTACAGCGAAATATGAAAGAAAATTCACGAAGATGACTTAAAACAAACACGGAGGGATCGGCCTGTTTGCAAGAAAAAGCTTGGAACCTATAACAAATGTGAGTTTTCTAATTTCTTCCTGTTTCAATGGCCCAAAATGATTATTAGTGTTTTGGTTACACGGATGACAGTAGACTGCAATTTGGCTGTCAGAGTTGTTCTGTCGTTTTAGTTGTGCGTTGTAGATCAATTAAAAAATGCCCGATTTTTTGCTCGTTTGCAGACACTGAGTTTAGGTCAGATAAAATAAGAAAATTTTAGTCTTGTCCGTCGCTACTTGACAAATCTTATGGTTTTAGAAAGTAGTTCTGTGATGTGTTGTATCGCATAAAAAAATAAACTTCGCTCGTAAAATTTTGAGGGTTCTGTGAGTTTCAGAAAATGGTGAAAATTTGCTTATGAAAATGGC